AGGCACTGATAAGTGTGGATGACAGTGATGATGACTCACCTGAGGGCCAGTAGCCTGCCCTCTGCCTCGGAACCAGCCTCCATTCCCGTACGCCGACCCATCTCTTCTACTAACGTAAGTGTTAAACCTAACCTTGATTTTTTCTAACCTAACCTACAGTATATTATTCTCTTATTGATTGTTCTCTTCTATATTATGTACGTGTGCATACCATCATAAAGTTAAGATTTTATTTTTACTAAAAAGTACGTATTGTGTCGGGAAAAAGTGGAGTTTGGGGGTCAGCCCAGTCTCTATTTCAATTAATCCCATATGTTCTGTTGTTCACTTCACGCGTTTCTCGCTTTGCGCGGGCCTCCGTGGGTTCAATTGACCGCGTAAAGCAAGGTTTCACTGTATTATTAAGAAGTATTCTGGTATGATCAATGATCAACCTATAATGGCATACTTTTCATCATAAATAACATAAAATATTAAATAACAGAAAAAATACACCAGGTGTGTGTGTGTGTGTGTAATAATAATAATAATAATAATAATAATAATAATAATAATAATAATAATAATAATAATAATAATAATAATAATAATAATAATAATAATAATAGTAATAATAATAATAATAATAATAATAATAATAATTATAACAATAATAATAATTAACAGTTTATTGAAAAAGTTCAGCAGCCCTATGGCTGAAAATATACATTGGACATAAAGACTTATTTCATACAAAGACACGGGGGTGGGTGGGTCATTTAACAAAAGTTTTCATTACTGAAAGGAGAAGGAACATAATTGAACATACAAATTATTATAGTTTGCAGTTGATGGCCCGGGCTGGTCTCTTGCAATACCGTGTGAGGTCACAGGCCACGTGGTGTAGTGACTCGTCCGTAGGGGTTGACATGAAGGACCTCATGTGGTCATGGAGACACCGGGTGATGTGGTGTTCACGTGGTGTAGTAGCTCGTCCGTAGGGGTTGACATGAAGGACCTCACGTGGTCATGGAGACACCGGGTGGTGTAGTGTTCACGTGGTGTAATAGCTCGTCCGTAGGTGTTGATATGAAGGACCTCACGTGGTCATGGAGATACCGGGTGGTGTGGTGTTCACGTGGTGTAATAGCTCGTCCGTAGGTGTTGATATGAAGGACCTCACGTGGTCATAGGGACACCGTGTGGTGTGGGGTGGTGTTACAGTACCTCACTCTGCTAGGTGGTGTTGTGTTATCTCGTAGTCAGGTGTAAAGCCGACCCACTGTTGTTCCCAGAGTGGAATGATTAGCATCTCCTTGTCAGAAGATGGTGGTCAGTTCCCATGGGTGCTTATCTCAGTGGTGGGTCACTGCTCTCACTGGTACTGTCTAGTGCTTAATTCAGTGGCTTCAACACTGTTCAACACTGTTCAACACCGATCCCACTTCTTTCCGAAACGAAATTGTCACTTTTGATTATGTTGATATCCCGGTGGTGAGGATGGGTTGGGGAGAGGGACTTGGGGAATGGCCGAACATAGCCAAGGGAGGCAGCTGCACAGCAGGAGCAGCGCCTGATAGGTCTTGACCCTCCGGTGGTCAACGATATAGTGTGTGTGTGTGTGTACACACATAGAGGGTGGTGTAATGCATCTAGTGTGGTAGCATTATGTTACTGTTAAGTTGCAAGCACCACTTGTTTCCTCTCGCTTTCAACTGCCATCGCTGGCTAGCCCTCGTGGCGAACAGGGAAACAACTTGCATAAGTCTTCCCCTGCCAGTACACAGCCTCTTCACCATCAAGACTCCTCCTGTGCCTCCTTGTGGCAACACACTGTACTTGGGTGCCTCATGGGCCCAGGCTAGACCAGCAGGGGATCTCGGAGTAGCAGTGGGCCCCAGAGGGACGGCGCATAGGCCCAATGGCATGTGGACACATCCTGGCGGCTACCAACCACCGCCCCGCTGCCTTGCGGATTAACCTTGGTAGGTAATAAGGCTTCGGGAGTAAACCATGAACGAAAAATCTGCGGTGGAGCCCCGATCAGGTAGACATGTTTACAGAGCTCCAACAAGACCCCGACGGCGGTATAGGCAGAGGAGGTAACCACCATGGAAATCCAATGACTACACCGGCGGATGAAGGCAATGCCTGATGAACAGGCTACTCAGTCAAAACCCAACAAACTGGGCTATAGGCAGTCCATTGCATCTCTCCCTCTCCCCAGTCGCTGCAACACTTGCACCACTGGATCAGGAAAAGGGAGTGCCAAGATATGTGGTTGCAGCCTGCGCTCCTGCCTCACCCCATAAATCAACTCACGCGCAGCCATCATCTAGTTCATGATGCCTCTCATCATCATCAAAACCCCTTACCCCAAAAGTTCCATGGCGACGGACGAGTGGCGATGGGGACAGGCAGAGATTTTTGCCGGGAGTCCCTGGTCACAACTCTGCACTTGGTCAGCACAAATAAGATGGTCGTTTATGCGCTGGGATCTAGGTAGCAGTGCAATCCGGTCCTGTCTGTGTGACTGAGCACCCCTTTCAAGGAGCCACTCTCCTCACCTCAAATGAGGAGGGGGCTAGAAAAGCTGCCCTAAACATAGCCTGCCTAAAGAACCAACCTGACTGGGCAACCGCACCCAGTAAGGTCATTGTTATGGGGTCGAAAACAATTATAATCTCAGATCAAAACAAAAACAAATTATACAACCTCATATGGTCACTGGATGAAATGTCAGGACCCTTCTGGATACTGGCACAAATGAGCATCCTGAAAGAAGAACTGCCCTTGTGGCAAAAGAGCTGGCTAGGTATAACATCCGACATAGTAGCCATTAATGAGTCCTGGCTCCCAGACGAGGGTCAACTCACAGAACAGGGGTCTAGCTATACCTTCTTCTGGAAGAGTAAGCCTGCTGTGGAGAGAAACAGCATTTATGGAGTTGGCTTTGCCATCCGCCAACGCATCTTACACAGGCTAACTGAAATGCCTGTTGTGAACAACGAGCGCCTTATGAAGCTCAGTCCCACCGAATCACTCACTTTCACACCTTTTTATCAGTGTACAGTGGTCCCTCAGTTAACGAGCAAAATTCGTTACAGAAGGTTGCTCGTTAACCGAAAAATTCATTAACCGAAACCATTGTTTCAATGGGTTTTTGGGTAATTGGTTCCAGCTCACCGAAAATTACATACAAACTAAAAATAAATGGAGTAAAGTACACTTACATTGAGGTGTGCATATAGAAGGCTCCTGGTTGATGATGATGGGAACTAGAATGGGGTGGAGGAGAAGGGAGAAGAGAAGGCATTGGGGTGGAAGAGACATCACCCCATTCCGCCATTTCACCCATAAAATTTTTGTTCACTAGGTGTAATTCAAGATTATTTTCTTTAAATCAACACTGCACTGCATTATATATTGTCACTATGTAAAATATATTTCAAAATGACCAATCCTTTGACTGGAAATAAAGAAAAAAAGTGTTTATGTTGAAGTCTCTCAAACAAGATGTTCCTTCCTCTGAAATGGTAAACAAACTGATGCCAAGCTTGGTGTGTTGAGTGGCTGTTTGGCGCGCAAAAAACTAGCTTCCTGTACTTCAATTATGTTCAATAATTGTTAAAATGACTATAAAATTTGATATAAAACTTTAAAAATTATTGAATAGTACAACCTTCTTGATATTTACTAAAATGGAAAGGAATTTAAGCCCTAAAACCAATTACTGTATTGGCAGACTAATACTACAGCTGGTGGGCAGCCAAATGCAGGCAAAAACATGTTGGCAAAAATTCGTAAGGAATTCGTTAACCGAGGGTTTGCTCGTTAACCAAAGTGAAGAATCTTATGGAAGGTAATTCGTTAACCGAAATTTCGTTAACCGAGCGCCCGTTAACCGAGGGATAACTGTATACACCCAACACTGGATACAAAGGATGACATCAAGGAGGCCTTTTACGCTGACCTCGACAGAGTGCTAACCTCTATCCCCAGAGAAGATAAGATTGTGCTCCTTGGTGACTTCCATGCCAGAGTTGGCAGAGATGCTGACATTTGGCAAGGAACCATTGGGAGAAATGGATTAGGGAAGTGTAATCCCAACAGCCTACTCCTCCTCAGCAAGTGTGCTGCACACAACCTCATTGTAATGATGTGCACTTGCAACACGGAATCCCCAGTTCTTCTCATTTCCCTCCCGAGTTTTTTTCCTGCGAGTCAAACATCGCTAAATAGAATTTTGACCAATTGTTAAACAAGAAAAGGAGTTTAAAAAAAAATTCACTACACTGAAATATCGCTAAGTGAATGAACGTTAAATGAAGGATACCTGTACAGTATATATGTGAAATGATGTATATCATACAGAAGTTCCCCGATGATATGAACGGGGTAAAATTTGAAATTTACATTATTTTATTTACCTGATGACTTATTTTTACTTTCATTTACTGAATTTTGGCATTCTATTTCTTCTTTTGTCTTAAATTCATGATTTTAGACGTATATAAGGACTAAGAGGGATTTTAATCATTGTTTTGTAAGTACGGTACAGCATGCACATAGCGTGTTCCGACTCACGTACAAATCTGACTTACGAACGTCCCCAGGAATGGAACCCGTTCGTAACCCGGGGACACCTGTATTGTACAACATATAAAGAGGACCCCTGTACTACATCCTAAATAGTAGTATAATATTCACTGTACCTATAATACCACAGAGAATCTCATGGAAAAAAAATAAATTATTGGTAAAAAAAAATAAATAAATAAATATCATGTTTCTCACCCTGATTTAAAATTATTTATATCATGTGATTTAAATTATTTGATTTAAATCATAACAACCCTGGCAAATTAAGTAAAAGAACAATTATTCAGTATTTTTAAATAACATATTACAAAAATTAAATGTTTCTGACTATTGTTTTGAGCCCACGCATTGAGCTTTTCATTTCAGCTTAGAAATTCAATATCAAATTTAATATACCCCATGAAGAGGTGACAACTTACCTAAAGGCAATACCAAGAATATCTTGTAGTATCCAAGCCCAAGGTTCCTTCCTCATCACAGCCCATACAACAGGCAATCCAAGGGAGAATATCAACAAGAAGATATTCCGCACCTCCATTGTTCCACGTACAATGTAGATGTTGAAGTATGGAGTACTGAAATTACAATGTGAAAGTAATTATACTTAGAAATATTTTCTTTGGAAATAAGACAATTCCTACAACATAATGTATACAGTAGTACCCCGCTTAACGCGGTCAATTGAACCCACAGGGGTCAATTGAACCCACAGGGTACGGTGTTAAGTGAAAACCGCGTTAAGTGAACAACAGAACATATGGGATTAATTCCAATAGAGACTGGCCGGACCCCCAAACTCTACTTTTTCCGACACAATACCTATGTTCTAGTAAAAATAACATCTTAATTTTATGATGGCACATGCACACAATTAATACTTAAGAGAAATAGAGAAATATAGTCGCCAAGTTAATGTCCATTCAAATAATGGACTCAACTCCCTCCCCCTCTTCTCACACTACACTCGCTGAATCTTCCCTCTCTGAGAAATTTTTGGGGGGAAACCACTAAATTTTAATAAATAATACCTCAAACTAAAGTTAGGATAATATAATTGACATTGCTGGATTCCTTGTAAGACCAGGAATATTTTGAATATAAATGTCATATATTTTGCACAAAAGATAACATATTTACTCAGAGTAAACATTATATCTAAAATTTGTATATCTAATGCAAAATCTATGATGTTTATATTCAAAATGATCATCAAATTGTAAGAATTCCAGCAATGTAAATTATATTCTGGCTGGGTAATTTGTATGAATTTTATGAGCTAAAACAAATATCTTCAGTTAATAAAAAAAAAATATTCTTCACGACACTATCTGTCAATCAAAGTACCCCACCTTGCCTCCCCCCCTCTTCCAACCGGCCAGGTGGTCGGTCCGTCCCAACCCTCCCCCCCACCCCCCACCAATCCTCCCTTCAAGAGATGTTGGGTGAAAAAACTAAATTTTAACATTTAGTATTAAATAATACCTCAGATTAAAGTTAGGATAATATAATTGACATTGCTGGATTCCTTGTAAGACCAGGAATATTTTGAATATAAATGTCATATATTTTGCACAAAAGATAACATATTTACTCAGAGTAAACACTATATCTAAAATTTGTATGTCTAATGCAAAATCTATGATGTTTATATTCAAAATGATCATCAAATTGTAAGAATTCCAGCAATGTAAATTATATTCTGACCGGGTAATTTGTATGAATTTTATGAGCTAAAACAAATATCTTCAGTTAATAAAAAAAAAAAATATTCTTCACACTGTAACAGGTGGTCGGTCGGTCCCACCCTCCCTACCAGATGTGTGGGAAAACCAGAATATTTACCTTTTTAGTAATAAATAATACCTCAAACTAAAGTTAGGATAATATAATTGACATTGCTGGATTCCTTGTAAGACCAGGAATATTTTGAATACAAATGTCATATATTTTGCACAAAAAATAACATATTTACTCAGAGTAAACATTATATCTAAAATTTGTATATCTAATGCAAAATCTATGATGTTTATATTCAAAATGATCATCAAATTGTAAGAATTCCAGCAATGTAAATTATATTCTGGCCGGGTAATTTGTATGAATTTTTTGAGCTAAAACAGGCAGGCAGGCGGGTGGCAGGTGGGGGGGGCGAATCTAAAAATAGCGTCTCGAGCCACGCAGAGTATACGTGGAAAAAACCTGTGTTAAGTGAAAGTTCGGCTCTGGCGAGGCACCGCGTTTACGTGAAATCGCGCTAAGCGAAACCGCGTTAAGCGGGGTATTACTGTATATGAAGACATGATACAGTATTTTCTTGATTTAACAAACTAATTCGAGCCACCCCTTTTGGTTAAATCAAAATTTCCGCTAAAATGAATATTCATTATTTTCGCTCGATTTACCAAGCTATATCACTAAACCGAGTGTGATTTTGTTAAATTCTGCACCAAGCACGCTGCACGTCGCTTGGTGCGTCGGATTTGTTTACATCCGCTCAAGTCTGTGTCCTGCAGTCACTGTCTGTGTTGTTCACTGCTAAATCTCAGTCAATTAACTACACTAGAGCACCTTAGCTTTTATCTTTATTCAAGACATCTTCAGAGGTAACTGAATTTACAGGGACACACCACCTCCACTGTAAATAAAAGAAGAGCTTATAAAAAAAATGGGTGACATAACAACAAGTCAGGTAAAAAAGCATGAGACCAGCTATCATCTACCCCACATCCACCTCAAATGCTTTCAAAGCATTTTTAACCTTAAGCCAGTTTTTATTCATTAATTAATACCCCAACACCACAACATCACAAACACAACATCTAGAGTTTTACTTAAAGTACGGCTTTCTCTTACAATTACAATTGAAAAAACAAAAATTTGTTACTTGTTACAAGCCCCAAACAATAAAGATTTAAATATCCAATTACAGGACACAGGACAAACTTGGAAGCTAACCAATCACAAGTGTTTCTTCACGCCTGGACCAATCACATGCGTTCTTTCATATTGTTTCATCTGTGTACCCAAGTGACGAACACAGAGTTTAACCCTTACGCCCCGGGTGACGCTCCAGAACGCGGGTCTTTTCCCACCCAGTGTGACTATATGCCTGTCACGCCACACGCTCGGCCACGGGGAAGCTTCCTGAATGTAATTACCTACTTTTGTTTGTCAATTGTTTGTCCGTTTTATCATGTTGTATCAAAGTAATACAGCTAGACCCCAACTTACGACTGCTTCGACTTACGACCGCAGTTGTGACCATTTTTTTTTTCAAATGACACGCATTTTCTATACCGAAACGTTTCCAGTTAATGTAGTCTCCATGTATAATTAGAAAATTATGGGGGCCCCATGTGCATTCAGCTGACTACATTAAAGGTAAGTGCTCAGTTACACTGTATCCATTCCTCATTATTTATTACTTTCACTGTACTGTATTTCACTGTAGATTTTTTATTGATAAAAAAAAAAAAATTATCTGTCGGACTTACGACCTGGATTTCAGTCCCTAACCCCGTGTTAAGTCGGGGTCTAGCTGTATTGCTAAAAGTAGTGAAGTTGTATTGTAGTACTACTGGAAAATAATGCTATGATTATGTTATAAATGTATTTATTTGTGGAATTATTAGCCTTCCATCTAGAGTTATAGACACACATTCACTTCTTACACATACACGCCCATGCTCTTCATTTTTCTTATTTTATAGTTTCACATTATATTTTCTTAATTTTTAAGCTACATCATTTATATAGAGCAGAATAATTGTTAAAGAAGTACATTTTCTGAGGCAAATACAGTTGAGTCTGGATTTAGAGTTTTGGTTTCTGCATTTGGTCATTTACGCGATGCCTTGCCAGAATTGAAATGCTTGATTCTGGCGTAAATTGGTCATTTATCTGGAGACATCTGGCGGTCAAACCGCCGCTCCATTTTTGGTCAAACCTCCCGCCGTCTCCTGCCATACTTGGGTAGCGGCTTGAGTAAGGTTCGCCAGTATGTCGGTGTTCGTTATCGGTGGCGTCATATGACATATCGGACTGTGATTGGGCCCCGCATCCTACCTCCCTCCCGCTAGCTGTGATTGGTTTAATGTAATATGGCGTGCTCTCTGCCACGGGAGAGGAAAGAAGCCGCTTGACCCTGCGTCAGTTGCTCTCCTCCCAGTCACTCGTGTAAACTGTGTTCTATTGTGCCCGCTAATCTCGTAGAATGGCTTCCACTGGACCCCACCACCACAGAAAAACCTTGCATTACCTGGACCGCGCTAAGCCAAAGAAATCGGCGTGCCTAAGTTAAGTACAAGATCATACAAGATTTAGAAAAAGGCGAGAAAAGTTGATTTGGCCGGCATGGCGTGAACGAATCTACAATCAGGGCGATCAAGAAGGATGCAGCCAAGATAAAGAACACATGAACATCACAAAGTCTGCAGGTGCTTTAATGGTGAAGTACTGCAAGAACAAGGTGCTGCTCAAGCAATTACTTGTGAGCTACTTCATTCAGGTCAGGCAAGAGCGGAACATGGCGGTGGACATGGGTGGGTCCAGAGTATACCGTGTGAACTGTCGTAGCAGTGGCACGTAAGATGGAATTGCAAAGCCCCCTTTCAATGCTTCCTCTGGGTAGCTACAAGTGTTTAAAAGGAACAAGATCACCAACATTAACATTGGTGGTGAAGGGGCGTGTGCTGACCGTGTTGAGGCTAGTGATTTTCCTCCATTCTTCGAGAAGTTATGGAGGAAGGACAGTACACCGACGACCAGGTGTTCAACACGGATGAATCTGGTCTGTATTGGAAAAAGCTACCTTCCAAGACCTTCGTTGTCAAGTCTGCCAACAAGTGTCGGGGCCGGAAGTTGCAGAAGGAGCGCATCACAGTCCTGTTTACCACCAATGCCTCCGGTACCTGTAAACTCAAGTTATCGGTGATCCACACAGCCCGCAAGCCACACGCTTACAAGAATATGGATATGACCAAGCTAAATGTCCACTGGCTAACCACACGTAAGGCGTGGATGTTCACTGCTCTGTCCCTCTCCTGGTTTGACGACTATTTCGTTCCCGACGTCAAGAAATTCTGCGAGTAACAGAATGTTCCATTCAACTCGCCCCTACTGTTGGATCGTCACCCCAACGTAAAAGTGGTCTTCCTTCCTCCCAACACTACGTCGTTAATCCAGCCCATGGACCAGGAGTTGATATGCGCGTTAAGGCTGCATTCTCTACAAAGAAGTTTAAGCTCCTGAACGACTGTACCAACACCAGAATGAGTTCGCGTAACCTGGGTGACACCGATGCAATAGCCAGGCGACGACGAGGAACAAGTTGGCGGATCAAAAGTTACATCAAACAGTTTTGGAAAATTTCGTCAAAAGCTGTTGATTTCTTGGTGGAGGCATGGGAGCAGCTGTCTGTGAGCGATTCATCACGTGGCGGCATGTGTTGCAAGGTATCCCGCTGGGAGGCAGAGTCAACCTGTGACTGGTGAGGTTCAGTCTGTTGCAGTGGCAGTGGACCTTGCAAGAGAAGCTGCGCAGAGTGTTACAGCTAAACGCTTCTCCGAGACCACCAACGACGACATTATGGAAGTGATAAGAGATCCTGAGTGACTGCCGACGAGATGTTAGACGATGATAACGTCAGTGAAGAGACAGGCAGTGCGTCATCCCGAGAAGAACACAAGTTAACACATGGTAATGCAAAGGATGCCATCGAGTTTGCAGAGAAACTCAAGCTCGTCCTTTCCACGACCCTAACGATAACCGCTATGAAGTCTTCAATAACCAGTTGTTGCACACTATGGAGCCGTACATCCAGATGTATCACGACCACATCAACACTAGCTGTCAGCGTAACATCACGGACTTCTCTCCGCAACCCACCACAGCCAGCCCAAGCCAGTGAAAGTGACAGTGACGCTATGGACTTTGAGGTTTGTCAACGCCCTGACAACTATGGTGGATAGTGATGGTGATTCACCTGAGGGCCAGTAATCTGCCCTCTGCCTCGGAACCAGCCCCCATCAACGTCGCCGACCCATCTCTTCTACTAACATAAGTGTTAAACCTAACCTAACCTTGATTTTTCTAACCTTCGTAAGTGTTAAACCTTGATTTTTCTAACCTAACCTAACGTAAGTGTTAAACCTTGATTTTTCTTTTACCTGGTACAGTATATTATTCTCTTATTGATATTTCTCTTCTATATTTGTGTGAGCATACCATCATAAAGTTAAGATACTATTTTTACTACAACGTCGTATTGTGTCAGAAAAAGTGGAGTTTGGAGTCGGCCCAGTCTCTATTTCAATTAATCCCATATGTTCTGTTATTTCATTTACGCGTTTCTCGTTTTCTGCGGTACTCCGCGGGTTCAACTGACCGCGTAAATGAAGACCCAACTGTATCAGGAGTCAGCTGGTTGACATGCCAGTCAGCTGTGGTCTCTTGAGATGGTAATGCCATGTGCCATTGTCACATTTAATGAAACTATAAAAGTTGTTGAAAAATTATTTCAATATCTAATGTGACTTAGAAAATAAAGAAAATATAATATAAAACTATAAAAAATTAAATATGAACAGCATGGGTGTGTATTGTGTCTCTATGATGCAGTGGAACTCTCCCGTGCCCCTGTAGAGAACCCTCGCAGCCAGTAGTGGAAGTTGTTAGGCACACATACACAACCTCCCTTGTCCATACAACCTGTAGTGAAATCCATGGAAGGGCTAGGGCCAAATTGTTTTAACCCTCATAGTTTAAGGATTTACTGTACAGTACTGTGTATTTCTTCGTTTATGTTTTGGTGTTGTCTTCCTCTGGGGGTACTATAGCATAGAGAGCAAAGATCAGGAAAGTGACTGTCATCTTATTCCATCCACAGTTCATCTTAAATTTTGGCATAAATTTACCCATCAGTATTATGAGCGAATATTAGTTGATACTTTTATGAACAGGGGAAGAGCCGTATTACAGGTTGAGAATCCCGAATCCAAAATCCTTGGGGCCGAATGTGTCTCGGATTCTGGATTTTTTCGGATTTTGGGATAACTGTAGACAGTATACCTGTTTTATGGGGTACAGGTACCTCACCCAGACGGGACTGTGCCCATGTTGAAGCACGAAATTCATGTGTACAGTCAGTCCTTGACTTACGACTGGGTTAGGGACCGACGACCAGGTCGCAAGTCGAATTGGTTGCAAGTCGAAAATGCAAAAATAATACATAGAAAATCTAAAATGGGTGTCTCTTTTTCTTCTCAGCACCACAAAACTCTCACTTTTACAACTTGCCAGCCATTTTAAAGGGAATTACAAACAAAAATTTTGTCAGTACACAGCGTGAGCACTAACGTCGGGACTCGAAAATACGTAATTTGAAAAATATTTTATACAACTGCTGCGGTTAGGTATGTCGAGTAGGTCGTAAGTCGAGGAGAACCTGTTTCTCATTTACCGATATGGATACATATAGCCTGCAGGTAGTTTAATGAAATATTTTCAATCATTTTGTGCAAGAAACAATAAGAAAAAGATGCACATTGAACCATCAGAAAGGTAAGCTACTATTCCTTTAGGCCTACCTGTAACTGCCCCTGAAATTTACCATAGCGCAGTCTTCTTTTTACGGGATTAGCCCACCAGGGAACAGGTCACTGACCCACATTGGGGCCTGGGGAATGTAATAATAATAATAATAATAATAATAATAATAATAATAATACTCTAGGGATGAGGATGCATTCTGCAGGATGACTTTCTTAAATGTTTCTTCTAGAGTCATCTGCCTCATTAACAGTGGTTTTTGTTGTATCAATCTCTCTTTGATCTTATAAACTGACATGATTCCTTGTTTAGTTATGAAAGCACGCTGCTCTAGTCCATCAATGAGCCCATCACACATTTTAACCATGTCATCTACGGGCACTTTTACCACTGTGTTAACTATGTCATTTTCACCTTCACTGTTAGCATCATGATCACCTTGATTCAGAACCATTTCTGCTATTTCACTATCAGTCAATGAATGAACAACTGGAGCATCATTATCAATGTTGAGAACTTCTTTTATGTCAGCTTCCTGAAGCTTCTTGACAGCATCTAAGGGGTATACCTTTTGTGTATATAAGGAGGTTTGGTATCATTTGTTTCTCACTTGTCACACGGAATCCTTGAAAGTCGTCATTTTGTTTGTCATCGTCGCCGAACATAGTCGACGGCCAGAGGTTGTGCCAAGCATTCACTCGGGTGTCCTTACCTATGGAACTCCAAGCACTAGCAGCAGCATAGATGGCATCCTTGACTGTAAACTGCTTTTGGAAACCCTCCACACCCACGCCTCTGTTGCCAAGTGCTGCCAACATGCTGCTCAGGAAACCATCTTTATATTTGCTCTTTAGTGCTCTAAGGATCCCTTGGTTGTATGGCTAAATTAATGAAGTAACAATTGGGGGAAAGTAAATGCCATAAAGATTATTCTTGACAAGAAGTTCAGAATAATTGTCAAGGAGTAACAAAACCTCCAGTAGTGTTCCAGTCCAGCTTCCCATCAGTGTTCATTAGTGGCTGATACAAAATGTTTATTTAACCAGTCAGAAAGAGGTTCCTGGTGATCCACGCTTTCTTGCTGGCGCAATAATGGACTAATAAATTAGTCACGCCTTTAAACCAGCGTGACACTTGCTCTTGCCTTTCACAGCAATTTAACACTTGTGTGCGTACCTGCTGCATTAGCACATCCCATCACAGTCAGACTGTCCTTAACATCCTTAACACCTGTAGGTGCCTTCTCATCAGCTGTAGTTAGTGACTTCCTGGGACAATAACGCCAGAACAATGCTGTCTCGTCAGCAGCTTAGATTTGTTCTGGTTTTAGATAGCCATCAGCGATGATCTTGGCAAACTCGTCGATGTAGTTCTCTGCTGCCTCATGATCAGCAGAAGCTTTTATCACCACAAATCTTTAAATATTTAATGCCATGCCTATTCTTAAATTTCTGCAATCAGCCATCTGAATATTCACAATTACCTTCAATTTTAAGTTCGTCATGATAAATATTTGCTTGTTTCATCATCAGCATACCATTAAGCGGCATATACTCACTCCGGAGCTGATGAATCTACTCTTTCAAAACACAATCAAGATCTTCATTTTTTGCCTTATGCAATGTTTTCTATTTTCACTTTCAGCATAGAACTTTAACAACTTGTCTTTTTGTTTTTTCAGGTCATAAATGGTGGTCGTTCCGACTCCAAACTCCTCCGTGAGGCGCCTCACACCTACACCACGGTCAAATTTTTGCAATAACTCAACTTTTTGTGCTATGAATAAGCATAAATGCTTCCTTTTTCTTTCAATGTTACCCATAGGGGTTCCTGCAGGTCTTTTTGACATTTTCTACTGCATATTCACTCGACAAACCACAGTAACAAAATCACTGAGTAATGCACAGACGTCTGTGATAAGTGCAGAACAACAACTGGGCGCCAGCCACCACCCTGACCCAGTTAGGGTAGATTAGGTCACACTTGTAACCCTCTGCAGTGCGTTGGGACGGGCACCATGCGGGAAGTTTAAAAAAGCCTTGTGGAATTATTTTAATTTTCCAATACAGGGGCTCCAAGAAATGTATGGATTTTGGATGTTTTCGATTTTTAGGATTTCGGATAGGGGATTCTCAACATGGGCAGGATTAAGGTAGATAAAATTATATACTTGGGTCACAGGACCATGAGGTTTTATTATTGTTTTACTATAAATATAATAAGTGTTAATTGTTATAAGTTGGTATTTCTTTGGGTCTTGATTCACTTTGCACAATTTAATGAAACTCTACTAAAGGTCATCCTCGACTGTCAGCCAGAGGTAGCAAGATTTGTCTATATGATTCTAGTCTGTTAACCAAGGCTGATTTTTCAGGATATATTCACAAGTCTGATTAATGGGCCTAGGAGTTGAGGCGCTGCCGAAAGAAAGATTATTCAGTAGTGGCCGTGACATGAGTTACACAAAAAAAAAAAACATGGACATGTGAAAAACTTAGTGATACCACCTAGTCAGTGACTTACCTGCAACTTCCACATGGGATTAGTGATATGATTGGTTGTAAGCAGCAGAACACTGCTACACCTGATGCAATGCAGAACATGCCAATGATCACATACAAAATATAAAATAATATATTTAATTCTCTACGTACTCAAGGGTAGGTAATAACTTAGAAGTAAGCATTCTCCAACTATGAAACATAAATCTAAGTCAGGCACTCAGAGTAGCACAACTGAGGCAAAATAAAAGGACTGCCCCTTTTCTCAGGTAACTCACTCTCACCAACATACACAAGCCACTGGAAATTATCTTAATCAAAATTAGCACAAGTTCTCACAATCATATGACAATAAAGAACATTAAATTATTTATGAATTAGATAAAAATAAACCAATACACAGAAACTACAAGATACTGATTATAATCTTCAACCCACTTAGCCAAGGTTTGGAGATAAGGCTTTAATGCAATTCAATAATATTTGGATATGATAAAAAATGACAGTCATTTACTGGTATGGAATACATATTTTGTACATTTGCTAAGGCAACTCTCCCATTATTGTTAACTACATTGATATCAGAAATTCACCGTACGACAATAAATAAAATATCTCAATTCTCTTCTACAGGTAAACCTTTATTCAAGATATTCCAATCTACGATAATTTACATTAACAATGAGGTTACATTAAACTCACTTCCCTATTTTAAATGTAAACAAACTCCATTAACGATTTTTGTCATCCCGCCAACTGGACATATGGAAAGCATCACTTGCTTCATTTATCAGCTGACATCATCTACCCTAACACTGCCTCGTGGTCATCTGGTGAACTACAGTCCAAGCATTGTTTCTTCTTGGTTACATGTGTTTAAGAAATGGAACTCAAGGTTTATTGGTCATCATTGGTGTTGTTTGATTACCTTACAGTGAGAGGACATCACTAAAATTCACATTGTGCTCTGTTGTAGTGACTGATGGTCTTTTGCTCTGATCCCCCACCCCAACATTGGGTGACCTGACATTACATCAGAAGGTCAGTAAAGAGTTTACGAGTACAGTAGGGTCGGGATATATAGCGACTTTATATAAAAAAATTTTTAAGCCGTGGCTACCAAAATTATCAATTTTTCCAATATATAGCGATAAATTTATTTACAGTACTCATAACTTACGTGAGGTTATGTTCCTTGGACCTCAGAAACACTCCCATAAATCAACCCAAAAATATGAGTTTAAATTTTGTTTTCTTGTACAAAATATATGATGTGTATATTCAAATTATTCGCTGACTCGCATGATTCTGCTAACTTTAGACTGTCCCATTTTATGTCAAGTTTAGTCACTTTTATTGGCCTCCAGAACCTAACCCTATTTTCCCCATTGATTAAATGCAATTATATATTGTGAATTAGTATATTTAACATCCTTGGACCCTATCTCAAGATATATCCCGACCCTACTGTATATACAATGGGTGGACATGACATTGCCTCAGGTCAGGTCAGTAACATGAGACCCACTAACCTCCCATACCGTACCTCCATTACAAGTGTTAAAAGACAGGGGCGGGCAAGATAAGGCATAAGGGCCAAATTGTGCCCCCAAGATTATTTCTGTGGCCCGCCAATCCATGTAGCAATGGAGCACTATGTTTCTTTTCTTTTTAAATCTTAGAAAGGATCAATATTATATGGGAGTTGGCCATCCATAGCAGCAAGACCTGCTGACCTGGCCTTGTGAATATCCCAAGTATGGTTATCCATAGGGATTAGGATTAGGGATTAGGCAAAGGGAGGTCAGTAAACCCTTACCTGAGAAACCCATTTTTGACCATATGACATGGACGGCCACATCCACACCTCAATATTGTGTCATACACTGTCCTGGGCATCCAGCACCAACACTAGAGAAGCTCAGTCTTCTCTCTGCTTCTCACTTAAGAGGACGTAACTCTGGTTTTGCAGAATTTGTACTTATGTGTTGTTGCACCCAACACAATATTTAAGTGAAAGAGTGAATCTTAAGAAGTGGAAAGCTGAAGCATTGTGTCAAACATTCAACAGGAAATGGATGGAAAGTGCAGCAGTGCTAAAGAATTACAACTTAAATCACCATTTTGAGACCAAGCACTCCAGTAAATATAACAAAAGTTCTGGTTAACAATAGAGGAAGAAAGCTAAAGAGATGGTTAATCAATTACAAGAACAGAAAAGTGTTTTCAAAAAACAATTTGCATCCCAGGATGATATTACAAGAGTGAGTTATGTGATTACTCAAAAAATTGCCAAAAAAAGCAAGCCATGATCTGAAGGAAAATTAATAAAGGAATGTACTCCTCACATACTGATGACTTGTACTCCTCACACACTGATGACTTGTACTCCCCCATACTGATGACCTGTACTGACCCATACTGATGACTCACTCCTCACATACTGATGACTTGTACTCTCTACACACTGATGACTTGTACCTCCATACTTATGACCTGTACTGACCCATACTGATGACCTGTACTCCACATACTGATGACCTGTACTCCTACATACTGATGACCTGTACTTCACATACTGATGACTTGTACTTTCCACACTGATGACTTGTACTTCCCATACTGATGACCTGTACTCACATACTGATGACCTGTACTCTCACATACTGATGACCTGTATTCTCACATACTGATGACCTGTACTTCACATACTGATGACCTGTACTTCTCACATACTGATGACCTGTACTTCTCACATACTGATGACCTGTACTTCTACATACTGATGACCTGTACCTCACATACTGATGACCTGTACCTCACACACTGATGACTTGTACTTCCATACTGATGACCTGTACTCTACATACTGATGACCTATTTACCATACACTGATGACTTGTACCTCACACACTGATGACTTGTACTTTCCATACTGATGACTTGTACTCCCCATACTGATGACCTGTACTCCTCACATACTGATGACCTGTACTTTCACATACTGATGACCTGTACTCTACATACTGATGACCTGTACCTCACCACTGATGACTTGTACTTCTCTACTGATGACTCTATTCTAACATACTGATGACCTGTACTTCTACATACTGATGACTTAATTTCATACTGATGACCTGTACCTCACATACTGATGACCTGTACCTCACATACTGATGACCTGTACTCTCACATACTGACGAATCACTCACATACTGATGACCTGTACTCTCACATACTGATGACCTGTACTTACATACTGATGACTCACTTCACATACTGATGACTTGTACTCTTATACTGATGACTTGTACTTCCATTGATGACCTGTACTCTCACATACTGATGACCTGTACTCCTACATACTGATGACTTGTACTCCCCACATACTGATGACTTGTACCTCATACTGATGACCTGTACTCACATACTGATGACCTGTACTCCACACATACTGATGACCTGTACTTTCACATACTGATGACCTGTACCTCACATACTGATGACCAGTCTCCTCACATACTGATGACTTGTACCACATACTGATGACTGTACTTATACTCACAGACTTGTACCTATACTGATGACCTGTACTCTATACTGATGACTTGTACTCTACATACTGATGACCTGTACTCCTCACATACTGATGACCTGTACTCCTACATACTGATGACTTGTTCCCCACATGACTTGTACTTCATACTGATGACCTGTACTCCTCACATACTGATGACCTGTACTACTCACATACTGATGACCTGTATTTCTCACATACTGATGACCCTGTACTCCTCACACACTGATGACTTGTACTTCCCCATACTGATGACTTGTACTCCCCAAACTGATGACCTGTACTCCTCACATACTGATGACTTGTACTCCTCACCATACTGATGACCTGTACTCCTCACATACTGATGACCTGTACCTCCATACTGATGACCTATACCACATACTGATGACCTGTACCTCACATACTGATGACTTGTACTCACATACTGATGACCTGTACCTCACATACTGATGAATCACCTCATACTGATGACCTAAATTACATACTGATGACTTGTATCATACTGATGACCTGTACCTCACATTGATGACTGTACCACACACTGATGACTTGTACTCTCATACTGATGACCTGTACTTCTCACATACTGATGACCTGTACCCTCATACTGATGACTGGTACTATTGATGACTTGTACTCATACTGATGACCTAGCTCACATACTGATGAACTGTACCACATACTGATGACCTGTACTCCTCACACTGATGACTTGTACCACCCATACTGATGACCTGATACTCACATACTGATGACCTGTACCCTCATACTGATGACCTGTACTCCCCATACCTGATGATGTGTACTCTCACACACTGATGAGTTGTACTCCCACTGATGACCTGTACTCTCATACTGATGACCTGTACTACCCACATACTGATGACCTGTACCTCACACACTGATGACTTGTACCCCATACTGAAGACCTGTACTTCTCACACTGATGACCTGTACTCCTCACATACTGATGACCTGTACTCCTCACATACTGATGACTTGTACTCCTCCACACTGATGAGTTGTACTCCCCCATACTGATGACCTGTACTCCTCACATACTGATGTCTTGTACTCCTCACACACTGATGACTTGTACTCCCCCATACTGATGACCTGTACTCCTCATACTGATGACTTGTACTCCTCACATACCGGTGACACTCCTCACACACTGATGACTTGTCTCCTCCATACTGATGACCTGTACTCCTCACATACTGATGATCTGTACTCTCTACTGATGACCTGTACTTCCCATTTCTCCCTCACACTGATGCCTCCTCACTACTGATGACCTGTACTCCTCACTACTGATGCCTGCTCCTCACATACACTGACCTGTACTTCTCACTACTGATGACCTGTACTCTCACATACTGATGACCTGCTCCTCACATACTGGCCTGTACTCCTCACACACTGATGACTTGTACTCCCCCTTGCTGTAGCCTGTACTCACATACTGATGACCTGTACTTCTCACATACTGATGACCTTCCCTCTCTAAACCATGACCTGTACTCTCCACACGTG